TAAAGAACTATAAGTAGATCTACCATTTGATCCAGCAATCCCACTACTGGGTATCTACCCAGAGGAAAAGAAGTCATTATACAAGAAAGACTTGCACATGCATATTTATAGCAGCAAAATTTATAATTACGAAAATATGGAATCAGCCCAAATGCCCATCAATCAATGAGTGGATAAAGGAAATATGGTACACATATATATATGTATGCTCCATGGAATACTACTCGGCCACAAAAAGGAACAAAATAATGTCATTCACAGCAACCTGGATGAAGCTGGAGACCGGTATTCTACATGAAGTAACTCAGGAATAGAAAACCAAACATCATATGTTCTCACTCATAAGTGGGAGCTAATATATAAGGACACAGAGGCATAAGATTGATACAATGGACTTTGGGGACATGGGGGAATGGGTGGAAGTGGGGTAAGGGATAAAATACATTAGGTACAGTGTGCACTGCTTGGGTGATGGGTGCACCAAAATCTCGAAATCACAACTAAAAATCTTATCTATTGAACCAAATACCGCCTGTTCCCCCCAAAATCTATTAAAATTTTTAAAAAGATATGATGTAAATATTTTCTTCCATCTATCATTTTGCACTTGACTTGTTCATATAAATGTGTATTTTGCTATGCAGAATCTTTTTTTTTTTTTTTAATAAAACTGGGAGCCACCAGGCAGCGCTGGGGACATGCGCCGTCCACCTGCCCTCCATCAGCTATGCAGGATCTTAATAACCTTTTATGTTCTTAAAATTCAGCTTTTAGTTTAGTTGTTTTAACAATTAGCTTGATAGCTTCTGAGTTTCTTCTCTTGCTTAAGAACCGTAGCACAGTTGTGCAGCTGCTAATTAAAGGAAATCACACTTTTCTCAAATCTCCAACAAAAAAATATTTCAAAATTCTTGCTTAGGCAAAGAGGAAACCAAATGTAGGATTGATCTTTGTCATTTTTAAGATAAGACCCGTCAACAAATAAAGTCACATTAAGATTTTGAAGGAGAATATCTAGATGATCAGCCCTGGACATTCTTCCTGTTAAAAACATCATTGCAGCCCAGTCATCAGGTAAGGAGAAAAGAGTAACTACTTTCACTAGCTGAAACATTTAGCTGAAGCTGCAGCCACTTGGAGGCAAAAGGTTAAGTCTTGGCTTCTGGATCAAGAGACAGGCTATAGGCAATGAGTTACTGATGGGTGTTTTTCATGTCTCAAGACCATGACTTGAACTTAACTGGGCACAGAAAAAACAAAAACAACAACAACAACAAAGTTTATTGTAATCTGGAAGACCCAGCAAAGGTAGTTGTTGAAGGGGCATTTTGAAGTTACTAAGGACATTTTTAATTTCTAGTTTCATAGAAGTGAAGCTCATGTAAAGGCCTTACTACTTCAGAAAAGCTAAGTCACTATTGTTTGCAAAATATTGTAAATCCAAGAAATTGTCTTTTAGAAAATAGCTTGGGTTAATTTTGAATAGTCAACAAATTTCCCCAGATAACACCCTAATTTTGGCTGACAAATCATGATTGAGGTAATGATTGGCCTCTTAGGACTGGGAAGCTTTTCCTTAATTTATGTATCCTTCTTAAACCACTTCAGTGAATAGATATTTAGAGTTAGTTGTAGAAGACTCTGAATCAGTGAAGTGTAGAAAGAGATCATGTACATATTGTGTAAGAGAGATCAAAATGGAAATTTTGTTTTAGACATCCTGATCTAAAAGTTGAGAGACATGAGCTAGAGCCCCAGTAATTACACATGTGTCACTCTCCGAGTAATATATTTTCCCCAGTAAAAGAAAATGAATATTGACTATCTTTAGTTACTGGGATAGTAAAGAATGCTGAATAAAAGTCTCTGTTAGCAAAGAATTTTCCGTCTTCAGGTAAGACTGAGCGAAGTATTATCAGTTGGATAGGAAATATCAGAAAGTAAAAGTATAACCACATAGCTATTATATTAGTTACTTGGAAATCTTGAGCAGAACTACCATCTCATCCATTTAGTCCTTACAGGCAAATCAGCCATATTACATAGACTAGTGAAAGGGGTGATTAGTTTTGATTTGTTTTGATTTTCAGTCATATGAGACATTGGCTCTACCAATGGCTTTTTTGCTTGCAATAGCTGTACATATCCTCAGTAATAATTCCATAATTCCTAAATTATGGAAGGCCCTTCAATTCAGCTTCTATTTTAGGAGTCTGTTGTTTTACCTGAAGGGCCATAAGTTTGTCTGGGCCTTTAGCATATCAATTGTTGTAAGTTCACTTGAAATCATTCAGATGAATATTGGAGATTCCCCCCATAACTACAATTTTCCAAGCAATTTTTAACCAAATTTCCTATTTCCGATTATAGCCCATCTATTACATAAAGACAGGACACGGCTCCTTTTACATTAGCTCTGGGTCTGCTTCAGAATATTGTTTGAAAGTCTCCTGAAGGAGAATACAAAAAATCTTCTATACATTTTTCCTTTTCTTGTTTATAACCTTAGACATTAGTTTAAATAAGAAAAGCTTCAAATGGCCTTCTATAAGTTTTGCCCTACTTTTCTTGTTCTTTCTAAGTTCTTGTTTGCTGTTATGCATGGTAGAATTTTAAAAATATTTTTCCACTTCCACTTGGTAGGTTTCAATAATTATTTTTTCTATATCTGAGAAAGATTTGTTTGTTTAGTTCTAGGATCCCTGGACAGTAAGCATCTAATAGGATTCAAATTTTCATAGCAATGTTTTGTCTTTTCTGAAGTCTTTTATTGTGGCTCTTCCCTATAGCTCTAATGTGGCTCAATTTATATACCTTCCACTGCTTTATCTTCTTCCATTTTTATCTCCTTCAAAATTGTTGAAGATAATCTGCCTTTTGCAATTTCATATATAGTAGAATCGATTTTTCTGTATCTGTAATAAATTTTGATATTTATTGAAATTGAGTAAAATTTTAAATCAATCAGGGAGAAATTGATACCTTTACAATATTGAGTATATAGTCTAGGGACACAGTATTATTTAGGTCTTTGATTTTGTTTCTCATTAATTTGTGTTTTTCAGCACATCATACTTATACATGTTTTGTTATATTTATACCTGGATATTTACATTATTTGAGTTGTTTTAAATATTGTTTTAAAATTTCTGTTTCTATTTACATTACGAGTGTATAGAAATATGTTTGATATTTGTGTGTTCACTTTGTATCTTGCAACTTACTGAACTCACTTATTAGATCTAAGAAGGCTTCTATATTTTCTTGGGTTTTTCTATGAAGATAATCATATCATCTGTTGGTTGGTACAGTCTTGTTTCTCCCTTTACAGTCTGTGTGTCTTTTTTTTTTTTTTTTTATTGCATTAGTTCAATATCTGTCAATATTTAGAATCTACCTATATGTTGATCAATCTTTTGATCCATCTTTTTTTTTTTTTTTTTTTTTTTTTTTTTTTTAATCTTACCTTATTAAACTGGCTAGGACTTGTAGTATGGTGTTAAATTCGGATGGTAGAAGTGGACATTTTTAATTTGCTACTGACTTTTAGGTGAGAAGCATTCAACCCTTCACCATTTAAGGATATCATGACTTTTCTTTTTCTTTGTAAATTGAAAGAAGAGGAAGAATATTTCTGGGAAATTTTCACCATGAATAAATATTAAATTTTGTTATATGTCTGTTCTGCATCAATTGGTATTGTGAAGTGCTTTTTCTTTTGCTTAGTAATATTATGCATTATATTTACTGGATTTTAAAAATTGAACCATCCTTGAGTTCCTTGGATAAACCGCATAGGTAGTGTTTTATTATTCTTTTAATATATTTTTCTGGATTGAATTTGCTAATATTTTGCTGAGTTTTTTTACATCTATGTCTACGAAGGATATTTATGTGTAGTTATTTTTTTCATGATTTTTTTTTTTTTTGGTCTGGCTTGGTATCAGGGTGATATTGGACTCACATAGTGAGTAAGAAATTGTCTCTTCTATTTTCTGGAATAGGTTTATAAAATTAGTTTTATTTCTCCTTTGAATTTTTGGTAGACTTACCATTAAAACCATCTGGACCTAGAAATCGCTTTATTAGTAGTTCTTTAAACAATATTTTTATTTTAGAATAGTTTTAGGTTACAGAAATATTTATGAAAATAATATAGATAATTTCCACACACGTTATACCCAGTTTCCCTATTAATATCTTACATTATCATGACATATTCATTACAATTAATAAACCGATATTAATACATTATTTTTAAAGAAAGCCCACACTTTATCTAGGTTGTTTTTAGTTTTTGCCTAATGTTCTGTCCTAGGAGCTCATCTTGGATATCACATTATATTTAGTCATAATGTCTTTTTAGGATTTTCCTGACAATGACAGACTATTTTTTTTCTTTGGATGTTTCATTGAAAACTTTACTTGAAAAAATAAAATTCCAAATATTCAGGTGAGACACAAATCCACTGTTCTTGCTTTGAGGCCGATGAATTAACGTGAGACAGTCGCACTGAGAGTTTGAGTTCCCGAGGTAACCGTCTGTTACCTCGGGAACCCCAGTAACTTGGGACTTGGGTCCCAAAGCCACGACGGTAGCTTTTGTCTTGCTGGGAAGCTGGCTGAGGGCCTGCGAGGGCTGGAGGACCAGCTTTCCCTGGCAGGGCTCAGGGCCTCTCCCAGAGAAAAGAAGTTTTGAAGTGAAAAGGCAACAAGGGGCCAGTAGGCTCCCCAGGATGTAGTCCTTTGGAGGTAGATTTGCTCCCCACCATGCATGCAGGGCTAAGACCCCCAGCTGAGCCAACGAACGTCATGCCCTTGGAAGGGCTGCCGCTTGCTCAGGCCATGAGCCAGGATGCACGGTGGACGATTCTCCAAATTAAAAAAACCCGAGGGTTTGTCTACACTGCTTACCTGCTCGGGCTGTGAGTGGGAAGATGGTGGCCTGCCTAGGGCTTCTGTGCTGGGCTCGGGAAGAGTCACTCATTGCAGAGGGCCAGCAAGTGAACCAGGGCCACCTCTGTCCCCAGCCTGTGGGAAGAGTGGGACCCTAACCCTGAGAAGGGCAAGAACGAGCAAGGTTGACCGTGTCACAGGAGTCCTCTGAGGGTGATGGGTTTTCAGTCATCAGCCACAATGGAGAGGGCCCAGAGCTCACTGAGTTTGGCCTCGTTCTCCCATTCCCGCTGCTCGTCCGAGTGGCCTGGCTGGTCAAGCTGCTGGGTCAGGTCTCCAAAGATCTTGTGCATTTCCGAGCAACACCACCTGCGCTCGGATGAGGGACTCGAAGCTGGGCTGGAAGTAGTCGAGGCGGCTGCCATAGAAGCGCAGCATCTCCTCCAGCAGCTGCCTGTTCTTGGCTTCAAAGTTCTCCCGCACGGGCCGCAGCTCCTCTGGCGCCTGGTGGAGCTTGGCCAGCACTGGCCCGGTCTTCTCTTTTTCCTCGAACTTCTCCACCTCGGCCTGCAGCCTCCTGTAGTCCTGCAAGGCCTGTTCCCGCCGCTTCACGGCCATGTTGAGGCTCGGGAAGACGCTGCCGAACTCTTTTAAGGGCTCGATCACAGTCTTCGGGATTTGGTTCACCTTTTCCTGGTTGAAGGCATCCATCCGCTTCATGGTGGTGTTCAGGGCAGTCACCATGTTCAGAAGGTCCTGGTCTTGCTCACAGACGGGATTGGAGAGTAAATCCAAGGATATCTTCACAGCAGATTTTGACATGGCTTGCTGGGGAGCTCAGGAGATTCCACACTCAGGAAAGGCATCCTTCCATTCCCCTCAATTGTCCGGATCAGTGGTGCTCACAGTGTGGGTCTCTAGCGTCACCCAGGTCGGCGTCGGTGCTCTTCATCATGTCTTTCTGCAGCCTCTGGGTCTGCTCTTCCAGCTGCTGCAGTTTTCCATATTCCCTTTCAAAGTTTCTCTCCACCGTTTTGGGCACAATCTGTTTCTTGAGCTGCCCAATCTTAAAAGGAATGCAGCTTCTGGTCCCGGACCTGGGCCAGCCGCCAGCGTCCTCAGCCACAACTCGTTCCTCTGGGATCACTTCCGGATTCCCATGACAGACTATTTCTGATGACTTTGAAAGTTTAAAGAAGCACTGGAAAGGTACTTTGCCACTCAATTGGGATTTGTCTGATTATTTTCTTATTATTAGATCAGGATTATAGAGTTTTGAAAGGAAAACAGGATATATCAAAGATATATACTGTCATTATTAGGGTAAATATTATATATCATTGTTGATGTGGCCTTTATCACCTGGCTGATAGGATTTGACAGGGCTTTCTACTGCAAAGGTACTCTCCCCAACTCCCTGCTATACTCTGAAGGAAAGTCACAATGCATAGCCCACACTTAAAGAGTAGGGAATTACTTTCTTGAAGGTGGAGTAACTACTTAAATTATTTGGAATTCCATATCAAAGATTTGTTTGTTCTTTTCTGATATGGCTCCGATGAGTGAAGGAACACCAGGGCTCTTGTCTGTAGTTGAATTGGATAAAATGACACAGACACACGTGGAGTGGTTTTAAGGAGCGGAGAATTTAATAGGCGAGTAAGAAGGAGGAAGCTCCCCGATACGGAGACAGAGGGAAGAGGGGCCTCCAAGAGAGGAAACCGCATGTACAGTGGAAAAGTGGCTGCATATGAGTAGGCTGGAGGAGGTGGTGGCTGATTTGCATAGGGCTCAGGGGATTGGTTTGACCAGACGTATCACTCATGCAGCCCACCAAAAAAAAAAAAAACTGGCCTTCTCACCCTAGCTTTTTAATATGCAAATACAGGGCGCATGATGTTCTACACACTTGGGGATTTGTGGGGGCGGCCATGTTGCCAGGCACACGTTGGGGCAAGGGCCAGAAGAAGAGGCCAGAAATCACCATGTTTGGGTGGATCCAGTTTTTAATGGCCTGTATTTGCATATCAAAGGTTGCTGGCCTGAATTTAAGAGGCGGGGCTTTCCTGCTACACAAGAAACGTTTCTGGACCTACTTTAAAAAAATGAAAACTTCCCAAGGACTCCTTTTCCTTTCTATCTGTCTGAAATAATATCTTAATAACTACCATAACATTTGTATTTATTTATTCAATTATTTATTTATATCAGCATCAGGTTGTATATATTTATTTTATAGTTTATGTTATTATCTAATACTATTTTATTTATTTTGTTGCTCAAATCTTTCCAGCATTGGTTTTTCGCAGCTATTTCTGTTGACTGTTTCCCTTTGCCATAACTCCATTATTTGCTTTTTTTAATTAAAAAAAAAAAAAACCTGCCTTACTTTTTCCAGACCTACAAGATGCTCCACGTTTATCCTGTGTATTTCTTGTAGCAGTCTTATAATCTGCCCTTTCTCCAAAGAGTTCTGGTTCCTTCTATTGGAGAATAGTGTCAAGAACCTATGATCTGGGTGCTAGGTCTATTCACTGCTACTGGGTTGTCATTGCTTCTAGGCCTTCTCAGCTGACAGATTAAGGAAATATATGTGTGTCTAATAACCTGTGTATATACACTTATCTGTAAATATTTCTATATGTAATTATATATATCTATGAAATGGCTCCATTGTCTGAGGTCTATACCCTGCTTCTTTGTCTCAACCAAGAAAGAATTCAAGACACGGACACACACGAGGAGTGGGTTTAGGAGTGGACAGTTTAATAGACAAAGAAGAAGAAAGAGAGAAAAAGATTTCTAATGCTAAGAAATTGGATTTTCCAAGAGAGGGTCTCTGGTTTGTGGGGGAACACAACTGATTCTGTATAGAGGCTTGAGGAGGCAGTGACTGATTTACATAGTGCACAGGGGATTGGTTTTTACCAGGTGTGCCATTTACATAGCCTGCAAAAGACTGGCCCTCCCACCCTAGTCTTATTATACAAACATGGCTTCTGCCTAAAGGTTGCCATGACATCTGTACACATGTTTTTACCTGAAGGCCTCCATGACACCACCACATGTGATGACAAGGAAAAGAGGATGGGAAAGGCCACATTGAATGTACCCGACTTCCAGATACAGCTGCTTGCATTTACATATGAAAGCTTCTAGTTTTCGTCTCTATCAAGTTGCTTCCTGTTAGAAAAGAAATGGTTTGGTGCTGCTTTATTAAAGGAAAATTCCACTGAGAACTTTTACCCTGTTTACCTGCCTGAAAGTAATTTCGTAGTAAGCCCTGATTATCTATATTAAGCCAAACATGAGTTCATACTGATGTCTACAACTCTCATTCATTATCATATGGATCATTCTAGCCTCCTTCCCATTATTACCAGTAATCCCCAACTGCAAAGGTGTGAAACCTAGCTCCCACCATCTGCCAATTACTTATGCAAATTTAAATCCCTGTATACTTGTATTGTGGCATCAGAATTGTTAAAACATACCCCTGTGAGAAATAACTTTATCAATTAGAATATAGTGCGTACATACAGTTTCTTTAGGCTTTAAGCTTACAGGCTCCAGTCCTAGCCAAATTACTTAAATCAGCAACTTTTTAGCCTAGTGAGGTTTTTTTTTTTAATACTTTTATTACATTCTGCATTCCATTTTAGGATCTTCTAACCTTTTCTCATTTTTAAATTTTTTTTTTCTCTGTGCATTTTAGTTGAGGAAGTTTTTACTGACCTGTCTTCAAGCTCACTGATTTCTCACTTGTACCAACTCTACTGATGAGCCCATCAGATGCATTCTTCATTTTTTTTTACAGTGGCTTTTTTTATTTCTAACTTTAAAAACAACCTTTTCTTAGACCATCCCCTAAGAAAAGTTCTAAAAGCATTACTCACCTTGCATGTTATCTACTTTTTTTATTAGAGACTTTAACATATTAGTGATAGTTATTTAAAATTCCCTGTCTGATAATACCAACAACTGTATCATATCTGAATCTGGCTCTGATGATTACTTTTTCTCTTCAAACTGTTTTTTCTTGCCATTTTAACATTTCTTATAATTTTGTAGTTTTTGCTGTTGTTGAAAGCAGGATATGTTACATCAAATAATAGGAACTGAGGTTAGTATGCTTTTATTATGAGGAATTCTGTTAATATGTTTAGGAGTTGGGCTCTGTTTACTGTTTGCTACAGATAAGGCTGTCAGATAATTCAAATTCCTCTTGATTTTTTTTATAGCTTTTTTCCCCTCTTGACTTTGTGTTTCCCTAAGTACCCCTCTTCAGAGCTCCTTCACTTAATATATTAAAGCCATGTTGCTGTAGTGGTAAAGTCGGCCGGGGGTGGGGGGGATGATATTCTTTAACTTTCCTTTTAAATATTTATATTTTAGTTGGCCTGCATCTTTACCTTAAATCTCTACAAATGTTTTTTCTCTACAAATGTTTCTTCAGTAGTGAAATTTTTCCCCAGCTCTCTACTCTTTTCCCTGGCTGCACTATTCATAATATATTTCCCTGAAGCTCTTGTTCATTGTTATTTCTGCTGTTTTCCTCTCTCTTTTACCCAAGAAAGGAAGACTACACAGAGCTAGAGTAGTCAATTGACTGAGATAAGGCACAGGCAATGTTATTTTCCCCTGTACTGTGGGCCTTTGTTACAAAAGAATGGCCACTCTTCCCCTCCATCACCAGAGTCATGAGAAGATCCTTCTGGGAAATTCACTGGCAGAACTTGGTAGGTGTAAGGCCAGCTGCCTCGCAGAGGGTTAAACAGACACATCCATCTCCCTCTGTGCCTGATAACTGTGTCATCACCCAAGCTAGTTATCTGGCCTTGCCGCACAGCTTCCCTGCACTCGCCTCCGCATACCAGACCCAAGCCCACATTCAGCACTAAATTATGCATTCAACCTCCAGCCCGCTGTTGATAAACCCTGCAGGAAAATTTTTTAAAGAAGCCCCATCAGACCCTGCCCGGTAGCAGTCTGCTCTGTATGCCCCCGGAAGGCCCGCTTACCCAAGGTCCCACCCGCCTACCCATAACCACTAGCTCCAGGCATTTCCTGCTTCTTAATAGCCAATAGGATTGCCTTCACTTTGTTTCCCCAACAGCCAATCAAGACCCACTTACCCAAAGTCCTGCCCGCCTACCAATAGCAACTAGTTTCAGGCCCTTCCTGCTTCCTGACAGCCAATAAAATTGCTTTTGCTTTGTTTCCCAATAGCCAATCAATCGCCTTCCCTTCCCATAAAACCCCATGACCTAAACAGCCAGGCGCGACTTCTTTGGCCCCTTCCTGGACCACAGAACCTCGCCCAGGAGCTGAATAAATTGGCTTCTCATTTTCTCATACTTGCCTCAGTTTCCTCATTCTACATCGGCAATAAACCTTACAGTAGGGTTTTTAGCGATAAAGTCCACACAAATCTTGAGCATCACCTTCCCCCCAACACCAGATTTCAATCCCATGTAGTTTCTCACTCTTGCACTACTCCACACTCAGCCTCCAGTAATTGGTCAAAATGACCATCGAAGTGTTCCTAAGAATTTATAGTTCCAGTGGCTTCTGCCTCCAGTAATCAGAGCTTAGCTGCTTCTCTCGAGATGCACCTGTCTTCGAATTCTGGGAGTTTGCCTTGCAACATTTTTTCTCTCATAGATCCAAAATTAGTTGTTGATTTCCAGTTTTTTTCTAGCATTTTCTTGTTTTAAGGATGTAAGCAATGACTTCCAAGCCCTTTACATATTGGAAGTATGTTGGAAACCTTTTAACTATGGATTCAACTACCTCAATATGTATATGCCTATTCAGGTTGTCTACTCATGTCAGATAAGTATTGAGAGTTCTTTTAGATTTAAATTTTATTTCAGATTCAGAAACTGCATGTGCAGAATGATTACATGGATATACTGTGTAATGGTGGCTTTTGGGCTTCAAGTGTACCCATGACCCAAATAGTAAACATTGGATCCAATAGATAATATTTTGGGTCTCCTCCCTTTTGGAGTCCCCAGTGTCTATTATTTCATCTTTATGTTCATATATACTCATTGTTTAGCTCCCACTTATAAATGAGAACACATGGTATTTGACTTTCAGTTTCTGAGTTATTTCACTGAGGATAATGGCCTATATAT